CGTCGCCTCGAACCGGCGGCCTGAGCGGTGGTGTGGGAGGCGAGGGGGTCGAGGGGAGGTGAGGGGAGGGGAGACGAGGGGAGACGAGGGGAGGGGAGGCGAGGGGAGGGGAGGCGAGGGGAGGGGGTCGAGGAGAGGGGAGGCGAGGGGAGGCGAGGGAGAGGAGAGAGGGGGGAGGCGAGGGAGAGGCGAGGGAGGGAGGCGAGGGGAGGGAGGCGAGGGAGGCGAGGGGAGGCGAGGGGAGGCGAGGGGAGGGGAGGGGAGGGGAGGCGAGGGGAGGCGAGGGGAGGCGAGGGGGGGGAGGCGAGGGGAGGGGAGGCGAGGGGAGAGGAGGTGAGGGGGAGGGGTTCGAGGGGAGGCGAGGGGAGGCGAGGGGAGGCGAGGGGAGGCGAGGGGAGGGGAGGCGAGGGGAGGCGAGGGGAGGGGAGGCGAGGGGAGGCGAGGGGAGGCGAGGGGAGGCGAGGGGAGGGGAGGCGAGGGGAGGCGAGGGGAGGCGAGGGGAGGCGAGGGGAGGCGAGGGGAGGGGAGGCGAGGGGAGGGGAGGCGAGGGGAGAGGAGGTGAGGGGGAGGGGTTCGAGGGGAGGCGAGGGGAGGCGAGGGGAGGCGAGGTGTTGCGTGAGCCTCACCCGTGCCGAGACTTCTGCAGCACCTCGTTGTTGCGACGCTGCACGGGGCACTCGGTCTCCCGGCGCGCGCACGCACATTCCACGCGATACGCGCTGTCAAACACACACGGTCACACGCGCTGTCAAATGCACGTGGTGACACAAACGGTCAATCTCACCACATGTTCACACACGCACAAGTCAACAACCACAAACCGCCGTTCACCACTGAGTGGTGGTGACATCACTACAATGCTTGTGGCAGGCTAGGTGCACCTTGAGGCCATGTGAACTGGTAAAAGTTAGCTAGCAGGAAATCACGGGACAGACCGACTGAGATGACTGGCAGATGCACCACCTGTGCCAACTTGCTGAGTTTTAGCCACTGGTGCGCTCCACTCATTGTTGTGAACTTGCTCCTCTGTTCTTTGTTGCCGTTGGGAGGGTGACTCCCAACTGGACGGCAGCGTCTTTCACTTTCGGGCGTGTGGGAGGCTCCGATCCGGCAGTGGATTGGTTGTGCTTGGGCACTGCCGAGTGGGCTGGGACCGGTGTGTGTGTGTGTGCGTTGTCGCCCGTCTGCCCACCCGCCCGCGTGTCTCCGTGATCCTCACCAGCCACCGTAGTCAAAGTCGAAGGGGATGGTGATCTCCGAGCCCTTGCCGATGAGCGCCACCGAGTAGATGCACAACCGGATGACGCCCTCTCCACTATGTGCCGCACCTGGAATCGCGTACAAAGACAAAGGTGCCCGACCACACCCCCCCCCCACGTAGCATTTAGAGACCGTTGGGGCAAATGCTGTTAAGCGAGCACCTACAAAGGCCGGCACGGCACGAGAAAGGAAGGCGTGGTACTTGTGTGGAGGCCGGCCGAGTAATCCTCATGGGAGGCCCACGACTGATTCAGACCTCTCTCGCCGCTGAATCTTATAGCCGTGGCCGGGAATCGAACTCGGGTCAGAGGGTTTCTTATCCCAACAGGACCACAGAGCTTGGGAAACTGTTGGCGCCCGTTTCTGGCTGCGTTCACGTTTGTCTGTGGGTTTCCATCACTCACCCATCTCTCTCTCTCTAAGTGGCAACACAAGCTCTGCAGTAGTTCATTTATACGTTTCTGTGGAATTAGCAGCGCGGTAATGCCCCAGACTCGGCGTGCCCCCTCGCTCGCTCGCTCGATTCAGGAGCATCGCAGCTGCAGCGTGAGGAACGCGGGTCTGGTGGCGGCGACGTTGGCAGCGTGGGGTGGAGTCGCACCTCGGCGTTGGGCGTGCACGAGCGGCGGATGAATCGCGCGGCGTTGCCGAAGGTCCTCGCGTCCACACACACGTCCACGCCGTCGCACTTGGAGTAGAAGAGCACGAAGGGGTACGGCCTGCGCGCGCGCGCACGCACACAGCCCCATCTAGCCCTCGCAGCCCGCGGGGGGGTAGCGCTATCCAGCCGCGGCCTAGCCACTGCCGCTTTAACGGGCCGAGCCGGCGCCGTCCTCTCGCGGTCCGGCGAGGCGGCGATCCGACGGCTCCGGCACGCGATCCGATATTGGCGCTCCGCTTCCGCCGCGAGGTCGCCGGGGAGCGCGGAGGGCACGGCCGCCCCTCCCGTCGCCGCTCACTCTTGAAGAAGTGTCCGTTGGCCTCGAACTGCGTGCTGAGCATGACGACGCCGCGGTACTCGATGACGAGGAGGTGCGGGGGCAGCGGCCGGGCGGCCGTGACCCACGCGGCCCAAGTAGAGCGAGTCTGGGACCGCGCGGCCTCGAGACAACGGCGCACTGCATGCGCGCGCACGCACACACATGTCAACACACGCACACACAGGTGAACACACGCACACACACACGTTAACACACGTGAACACCCGCACACACACACGTGAACACACGCACGCACGCACACAAGGTGAACACACGCACGCACACACACACGTCAACACACGCACACACACACGTCAACACACAAAGATAAAAAGATCCCCCGTATAGCCTGAACAGACTGTAGGGGCAAGTGCTGTTAGCGAGCACCTATGAAGGCCGGAACGGTACACGAGGGGGTGGGTGGCCAGCACCACGCCCGACCGCCTTTGTCTCCCTAGTGGCGATGTTTACACACCGCACCAGGTACTCATTTAAGGCTGAGTGGGGAGCGGTGGTGTAGCGGTTAGCGCGCTGCGCTATAAACCTGGCGACCCGGGTTCGATTCCCGCTCACGTCAACACACGCACACACACACACAGGTGAACACACGCACACACACACGTCAACACACGCACGCACACACACAGGTGAACACACGCACGCACACACACACGTGAACACACGCACACACACACGTCAACACACGCACACACACACAGGTGAACACACGCACGCACACACACACGTGAACACACGCACACACACACGTCAACACACGCACGCACACACATACGTCAACACATGCACGCACGTCAACACACGTGAACACACACACACAGGTGAACACACGCACGCACACCCACACACACGTAAACACACGCACGCACGTCAACACACGTGAACACACACACACAGGTGAACACACGGACAATAATAACAGCTGCGATTCGCCACTAAGTGGCACTGATGTAACCACAGCACTTGTGCCAGGCGAGGTGCACTTTGAGGCCACGTGAAGTATCAAAGGCTCGCCGACACACGAATAAACGAAGACAAAGATTCCCCCTTTAGACTTTAATAAATCGTCTGTTTTGGGCAAGTGCTGTCCACGAGCACCGATGAAGGCTGGCATGGGGGTGGTGTGGCCAGCACCATGCCCAGCCACCAGCACCATGCCCAGCCATCAGCACCATGCCCAGGTATTCGCCACTGATGTTGGCCACGAGCGGGAATCGCGCTTCTCCATGGTCGAACATTGAATAACGAGCGCCTCTCTAGCAGCTGCTACCCAATCAGGGTGCAGAGTTCGTAGCGCAGCACGCTAACCACTGCACTACCACTCACTTCCATAGACACAACAACCGCCATTCGCCACTAAGTGACGGTGACGTCACCACGGCGCTTGTGCCAGGCCATGTGCACCTTGAGGCCACACACACAACCGCACAAAAGACAAAGATCCCGCGTATAGCCTTAACAGACTGTAGGGGCAAGTGCTGTTAGCGAGCACCTATGAAGGCCGGAACGGTACACGAGGGGGTGGGTGGCCAGCACCACGCCCGACCGCATTTGTCTCCCCAATGGCGATGTTTACACACCGCACCAGGTACTCATTTAAGGCTGAGTCGACCTAGGGGAGGCCTAGGACCGGTTCAGATAATCGTCACTGGTGTTGGCCGTGAGCAGGAATCGAACCCGGGTCGCCAGGTTCATAGCGCAGCGCGCTAACCGCTACACTACCGCTCCCCACTACACACACACAGGTACACGGGCACACACATGTGCACAGGCCCCCCACCACCAACCTGTCGCTTGAGAGAGACGAGCACGCAGTCCGAGTCAACTTCGCGCTTCTCCACCTCCCCATTGAACCCCTCCACATGCCCCGCACAGCCGTCAGGGTCCTCTTCACCGTCACCGCCGCCACCACCACCACCACCACCGTCATCCCCACCATCGCCGGCTTCACCAGCATCATCAGCAGCAGCATCCCCTCCACCGTCCTTCACTCCCGGAGTTCGTTCGCTCCACCTCCTGACGGTGACCGCGACCGCCCCGTGTTCCGCGGGGACGCCGCCCGGCTCGGTCCCCTCCCCGCCGATCGACGCCCGGCGCCCGCCGCCGGTGCCGGCGTCGCCGCCGTCCACGGGGGAGCCCTGGCGGCGCCGCAGCAGCAGAGCCGAGCGCAGGTCGGCGCTGTAGCGGTTCGCCAGCGCCTCCTCGTAGTTCTCGGCCCACGAGCGCACGCGGTTCCGCCAGTCAGCGCCCGAGTCGTCGTCGCACCCGCCGGTGCCGGCGGTGGAGGAGGACGAAGAGGAGGCGGAGGAGGAGGAGGCCAAAGCGTCCGTGGGAGTCGTGGGGAGGTCTCCGCCCGGAGAGGTCTCGCCTGCGACGCTCTGATTGGGCAGTGGCGGAGAGAGAGGATCGCGTTAGGCGATGGGCGACCATGGCCGACAGGGGCGGCCCGGACGCTCAGGCGGATTCTAAACCACCAACGGCGGACGGGGCACGGCGTAGACGGGAGGCACTGGCGGCCGATTCGTCAAGATATAAATCTGCCACGTACATCTCAGAATATCGCCAAATTCAACCTTGACCGCAACCACCCTCTCGCGGTCGTGCTTGCCATCGCTACCATCGCAGGCGAGCGACAATTCGCCCACACGGATTCCAGTGTCACGCTACTCGGCGTCGCGAGTCTCGTCTGTACCGCCCATCTCGTCCGTACCGCCCCGTTCGTCCCGTAAGCCTCGTAGGGACGACTTCACGAACCATGGGCATGCGGTGTAAGAATAACCGATCCTTCCACGGATGATTCTACGCATGTGCCGTGGGCAAAAGAGCCAACGTGTACAGTCGAACGCCACAAGCCTAGCCGTCACCACAGCCACCCTCTTCGTCAGCGATCCGTCACCTCCGTCGCTCTAATGTCGCGGATGCCGCTCTCAACGGCCGCATGGCTCGATTTGACCTTTGACTTCTAGGGTGCCAAGCCGCATCACAACGAGGCCTACAGTTGCATAGTCTAATCAACCCACGCGAGTGATCGCCTCTCTAACAATAGCTGCATCTACTGACAAGGTCGCTGCACTAGCGCGGGTACACGCTCCATGTGAATGGTGACTTATTGTCATTTATAAGGATATTTATTGGAGACACGTGCTCACCTTTATTCTTGCAGACTTGCGTAGACCTTCTCTTAATGGCTGTGAAATAAATAAAAAACATCAACGGTCAGCAGACTCCACGTAAGTAACATCATCGCACCCGGGGCTACGTGGAGGCCAGGTGCTACGTGCACAATAACCGTGTTGACAAACGGGCGCATACGGAGCCGCTAATCACGGATCGCACGAGTTCAAATCCGGGCCAGGGTTGACTCGGACCGTCATTCCTCGGAGGTCAATAAAATAGGTAACGCTTTGTGGGATGCCACGAGCGGTTTTCCTTAATTGGCCAATGGAGATGCGCACCACCCCATCGTCATCATCATCGTTCCTTCTTGGCCGATTCACAAAGCACCACCAAGTTTGGCTGTACCAGAACGGGCGGGCGCCGTCAACGCGGCGATCGCACACGTCCGTGCGGCTCCGGTACCGACCTTCTTGGCCCGCGCCGCCGGCCGGCGCTGCCTGCCGACCGCGCTCCGCTTGCGCTTCACGGCGGCCGCCGCCGTCATCGGCGAGAACGCCTTGCCAGCGCCGTCGCCGCCGTCAGCGCCGTCGCCGCCGTCGCCGGCCGCCGCCCTCCCCGCCGCGCGCCCGCGCTCCTGAGACAGCGAGCGCGGGCGCGCGGGGCCTCGTGCCGCCGCCGCCGACACGGCCGCCCCCGCCGCCGCCCCGCTGGCCCCGCCGCGCCGCCCGCAGCAGGAACGGCGCGATTCGCCATGAGCGTGAGTGTCGTGGGGGACTGCTGGACTGCCGTGTAGGACACCGTCATGCACGCGGGCAGCTCCTCCTCCTCCTCTTCCTCCTCCTCCTCGTCCTCCTCGTCCTCCTCCGCCTCCTCTTCCTCCTCGTCGTCGTCCTCCTCATCCTCCTCGTCCTCCTCCGGCGGCGGCGCCGCCGTGGAGCCGGCCTGCGCCTGCTGCTCGGAGGAGTCGCGGCTCCTGGCGCCGACGCCGCCGCTTGGAGGGGAGGTGGGGAGGGGCGGCCGTGGGCCCGGACGGCACGCGCGCTGCTCCCCCGTCCCGTCTGGAGTCCAAGCACAACCACAACAACAACAATCACAACCACAATCTCAACAACAACAATCACAACCACAATCTCAACAACAACAATCACAACCACAATCTCAACAACAGCAATCACAACCACAATCTCAACAACAGCAATCACAACCACAATCTCAACAACAGCAATGACAACCACAATCTCAACAACAGCAATCACAACCACAATCTCAACAACAGCAATCACAACCACAATCTCAACAACGGCAATCACAACCACAATCTCAACAACAGCAATGACAACCACAAGCACATCACAAGAATGATGACAAGTCGGTTCACACACAGCATAAACTTGTGCTGCCTACAACACACAGCTCCCATTTATACAGCGTGTCCCAAATGTCAGGACACGTAGGGTTGTTATATTTTTTTAACAAATGTTCAAATTGACTTTAATGCACGCACGAATTTTCTTTTGAAATGGATTAAGGATTTTATGTTAAGGTTACAGGTGTAATCTTTGAACATTCATCAATTATGTTCCGTATCAATTCATCCAGCGGGAGACTGACAGAGGGCCGTAGAGGCTGCATCGACCTAGGGGAAGCACACACGAGGTTCAGATCGGCCACGTGGTATTGCGTGCCATGACCTGAAATCGAACCCAGGTCAAGTGGAGCAGAGTGTAACCACCGCAAAGCTGGTCACAGCAAGCAAACAAAGGCCAAGATCCCTTGTGTAGCCTGAAGAGACTAAATTTCGATTTGAAGCTTTTGTGACTGCAGGGATTCATCTTCTTGGTTCTTTCGGTAAGGTCACGTAGAAGATAATATAATTTTTAAAAAACATAATAAATTAATTCTCACGACGTTTCGGCCACAACGCTGTCTCCCCGACAGACATGTTCTTCACCTGAGGATGGCTGCTTGCGTTGTGGCCGAAACGTCGTGAGAATAATTTTATTATTTTTTATTTTTATTATTTAATTATTTCCCTTCTACGTGACCTTACCGAAAGAACCAAGAAGATGTTCATATGAGAACAGACAAATTGCACGAGGCCGCCACGCAGCGACTTCCTCTTACCGGGAGAGAAGCCCTTCCTGTTGGCAGGCTGCCTCCTCTGCCGCAACACCCTGCAAGAACATCGTCACCATCACCATCGTCGCCACGCTCACCACCACCACCAACACCCACCATCACCACCATCCCTCAAATCCCCGTGACCTCGTTGCCAGCGCTCGGTGATAAATTCCACAGCGAGCAGTGCACCACGCTGCCTGGGGGAACGGCTCACCACCCAGTCGCCACCAAACTCGCAGATGCTCCACGACCCAAAGAACTACGACAACTATCGCCGTCGTGAGCCGCGTGATTCATCGCGCGGCCATTCAATTCCCTCGACAACAACAACGCCCCGCGCAGCGATGACGACGACGACGACAAACAACGTACCCAGCGTCACTCTGGCTCCACGACCCTCCCAGCGACGCTCGCCTGCCGCCCACGCCCGGCTGCTGCTGCTGCTGCTGCTGGCGCTGCCTCCTCTGCAGTGTGGTGGGGCTGGAGAACGAGTAGCCGCCGCTTCCCTGCACTGTCGCGGCCCACGCGCCGGGCGCCAGCGGCGCGCGCGCGTGACCGTACACCGCCTGCGCTCCGTGCGGCGGCTGCTGCTGCTGCTGCTGGTGGGGAGAGGAGACGGCGCAGCGGGGGGCGCAGGCGGGCAGGCGGCCCCCTCCCTTCAGGGGGTGCAGCGGCGGAGGGGAGGCCGGGGGCGTGGGCGGCGGGGGGGCCCCGTAGTTGTGGTCCTGAAAGGGACATCGACGCCGACACGGCACGCACGGTGAGCACGATGGCCATCGCTGAAACCGACACCGCGCGCGGCCCCCCCACGGCCCCCCCACGGCCCCCCCACGGCCTCCCCCACGGCCTCCCCCATGGCCCCCCCACGGCCTCCCCCATGGCCCCCCCACGGCCTCCCCCACGGCCCCCCCACGCCCCCCCCCATGGCCCCCCCACGCCCCCCCCCATGGCCTCCCCCACGGCCCCCCCCACGGCCCCCCCACGGCCTCGTAACCTCACTGCCCTCTCTTTACAACGCTGCACGAGTTGACCGCGTGTGGCCCATGTATGTTTGTTTCTGCAAAGACGAAGAATGATTAATAAATAAGCAGACAATAGACTCGTGTTTCAGATATCTATCTATACCCCCCCCCCCCCCGCATAAATAAAATCCCATCAGCCACACGGACTTCTGGAAGTGATTTTTTTCTCTCTCAACAGAATTGGTTTAATACGGTTTTGACATTCAGTGCTTCATCCAGCAGACGTGCTTCAAACATTGCGGGTGCACTACCAATGCCGGACCTCAGAGTTAATGATGAGTCCCTGGCGCCCCCTTGCGTCACACAGAGAGCGTGGAGGGGAGTGAGGTGAGAGGGGAGAGGTAGTAGCGGCTCAGCGCCGGGCCTCACCGTGTAGGGGAGGCCGAGGTATCCGTGCTGCGCTGCCCCGACACTCATGCCGGCGTGCTGCTGCTGCTGCTGCTGTCCCCGCACGACAGCGTGCTGCTGCTGCTGCTGCACGGGGCCACTGTGCTTCAGCACAGCCGACACGCCGCTGACGAACAAGTGCTGTGCCCCCGCGCCGGCGTGCGGGTGCTGCACCAGCTGCATTTGCGGCACGTGCTGCACCAGCTGCGCATGCTGCACCTGCGCCGCGGCGTGCTGCGTGTATTGCGCAGCGGCCTGCGAATGTTGCACGTGCAGCGCGCCGGCGTGCACGTGCTGCGCCTGTTGCGCGTGCTGCGGGCCAGCGCCGCCGGCGTGCTGCGCCTGCTGCACGTGCTGCGAACTGCCGAGCGGGTGCAGCGCGCCGGGGCCAGGGTGGGCGAGCTGCGCTACGCCCGGCGGGTGCAGCGCGCCGGTGCCGAAGTGCGGGTGCTGCGTGCCGGCGCCCGCGTGCAGAGAGCCGGCGCCGGCGTGCAGCGAGCCGGCGCCGGCGTGCGGGGTCGTCCCGGAGCTGCTGTGCGAGTGCTGCGGGAGGGTGCCGGACTTGTCCACCACGGGGCTCGCTTCGACGGACTCGGGCCTGCGAGCGGCACGGTCGAGCGTCACCGAGAGAGATCCATCTCCCGCCCCCCCCCTCCCTCCCTCCCCCGCGTGCCCGGCACGCGGGGGAGGGAGGCGGCAGAGCCAGCGCCGCGCCCGCGCACCGCCGTGTCTCCCAACTCGCCGCTGACCGCACGCTGTATCGGGAAGTCGTGTCTCGGCCGAGTCAACCCAAGAGATGTCGGCTATGGCCGGGAAGCGACCTCACGCGGCGCGTGACATCCTGCGGCCGCCCGCGCGCCGACTGTACCGTCGCTAGCACTCGTTTTAGGCTGCATCGACCTAGGGGAAGCACACACGAGGTTCAGATCGGCCACGTGGTATTGCGTGCCATGACCTGCAATCGAACCCGGGTCAAGTGGAGCAGAGTGTAACCACCGCAAAGCTGGTCACAGCAAGCAAACAAAGGTAAAGATCCCTTGTGTAGCCTTAAGGGACTAAATTTCGATTTAAAGCTTTCGTGACTGCAGGGATTCATCTTCTTGGTTCTTTCGGTAAGGTCACGTAGAAGGGAAATAATAAAACAATAAATAATAAACCATTCCAATATAAATTAATAATATACTAGATTAATAATATATTTTGCTTTTTTTTTCCCTTCTACGTGACTTTACCTTAAGAGACTGTTGAGGCAAGGTGGTGTTAGCGAGCACCGACGAAGACTGGCACAACGCCCGAGGGGGGTGGGTGGCCAAGACCACGCCCGGCCACCTTTGTCTCCACAGCCGTGCCATTTAGTGCATTGCACAAGGTACTCATTTGTGGCCGAGTCGACCTAGGGGAGGCCCAGGACCGGTTCAAATGTTCGTCACAGTTATATTGCTCGTGAGCGGGAATCAAACTTGGGTCGCCGGGTTCGTAGCGCAGTGCGCTAACCACTGCACTAACACACGCTCACAAAGCTCACAACACGCACACGCTCACACACACACAGCAGTGGGTCGTGGTTGGCAGCCTGGTCACGTACGCACACACACACGGCGAGGTTCTGGCCGGCACCATTTCTTGGGGCTGCTAATTGAAGTGCACGTGTACGGGCCCCCCACCCACACTGAGCATCAATAATGTGTGGGGGGGGGGGGGGCAGGGGTGGAGGGGAGGGGGCGGCTAGGAGGGGCAGGGTGGCTGCGGCTAGCTCTGCCAAATTAGCATTCACCAATGTCAGCCACGACTCTCATCTCTCCCGCGCACGCGCGCGTGCGTGCGTGCGTCCGTCTGTCTCTGCGTGTCTGTCTGCGTGTCTTTGTCTTGTGTGCCCATGATGTGCCTCCGAGTCTGTGTTGCGAGGAGCGGTATCGTAGCGTTTAAACGCGCTGCGCTACGGACCCGGCGACCCGAGTTCGATTCCCGTTCACGGCCAACGTCGGTGACGAATATCTGAATTGGTTCTGGGCCTCCCCTAGGTCGACTCGGCCTCAAATGAGTACCCGGTGCAGTGTGTACCCCTTAGTAAGGGGAAGACAAAGGCGGCTGGCTACCCACCCCTCGTGTGCCGTGCCGGCCTTCACAGGTGCTCGCTAACAGCATTTGCCCCAACAGTCTGTTTAGAGCTATCTGGGGGATATTTGTATTTGTCTCTCTGTTACTAATTTCAGGCTAAAACGACTGAGAATAAGTTAAGGATTGGTTCAAACATTCTCCACAATTATTTCCCGTGAGCCAGAAACTAATGCGTGTCGCCGGGTTTATAGCGCAGTGTGCGAATCACAGCGCCACTGTTCCCCCATGTACGCACAAAGACAAATCCAAAGATCCCCCGTATAGCCTTCACAGACCGTTGGGGAAAGTGCTGTTAGCGAGCACCTATGAAGACCGGCACGGCACACGAGGGGTGGGTGGCTAACACCACGCCCGGCCGCCTTTGTTTCCCCAATGGCGATGTTTATGCATCGCACCAGGTACTCATTTGAGGCCGAGTCGACCTAGGGGAGGCCCAGGACCGGTTCAGATAATCGTCACTGGTGTTTACCATGAGCGGTAATCGAACCCGGGTCACCAGGTTCATAGCGCAGCACGCTAACTGTTAAAATACCGCTCCCCACACACACACACACACCACCATCACTACTACACGGCTTACACACACACTCGCATACACACACAGCCCTAAGTCATTTTGTGAATTATTTTTCTACAAATAAGATTCCAAATTCTGTGGATATTTCAACCTCCAGGGTAGATAAAATAGCAATCACTTTGTGGCCAAGCACCCTCCATAAGACTGTGGAATTTCCACTGATGCTCAGGGTCACCAAGAGAGATGAGCAGGTTAACGTTTGTTTGTAGAATTGCGTTCCACGATTGTCATCATCACATAATCATTGCATCCTCATTGTTGTCATCATTACCAACACCATCATAACATCATGCCAGTAACTTCATTACCATGTCATAGGACCTCCTTTGCCAGTACCAAAATATGAGAATAGGTTTTCCCCTTTTTTTCTGGCAACAAAACAGGTGTTAAGATGTTAAAACACCAAACTGAAACCTTTTACAAGGAATCATGTCTGCATTAACCACAATACTTGTGGTCAGAAAGAATGCAAACAAAAAACACGCTCTGATAATATATGCATTGTCTTTGAAACTGATTGGTCCACAGCAGAGACAGCTTTCTTTTGAGCCTCGTCTCAAATGGTGTTAGACCAGAGGACGTCAAAAGGCCATGAATATCACGTCATTATCACCATGAGCAACCCCAATCATAATTACATCATCTTTTACATTGCCATCATCAATAATCACGATAGCCATCATCACATCAGCACCATGACACCTACACTGCCATCAACATCAACACATCATCTTTGTCACCATCATCATCAACAGCTCCACGGATGTTCTCGCACTGTGCCGAGGAGAAAATGCTTGCCCTGTGGGTTCGGCTGGTGTCCGACCCCTGACCCCTAACCCTGAACCACTTGGGGGGGGGAGGGAGGTTGGTGCAGGGTCGTCAGGCACGAAACAGCTGACACCTCCTGGCAACTCCGGGCCAACGGTTCCATTCATGAATGCCCTCTCCTGCTCCCCGACTTGCATTGCTTGTTGTGTACATCCTGCCAGGTCTGTTCCATCTCTTTGGAAGAACGTAATCAACCAGGCAGGGTGTTGACTGTTACGTTAGCCGACTCTCTCTGTTGTATTGCATTGTATTTATAAATTTCGATTTAAAGCTTTAGTGACTGCAGGGATTCATCTTCTTGGTTCTTTCGGTAAAGTCACGTAGAAGGGAAATAATAAAATAATAAAAATAAAACATAATAAAATAATTCTCACGACGTTTCGGCCACAACGCAAGCAGCCGTCCTCAGGTGAAGAACAGGTCTGTCATCCCGACAGACCTGTTCTTCACCTGAGGACGGCTGCTTGCGTTGTGGTCTGTTGTGGTCTGTCTTCTCGACAGACCTGTTCTTCACCTGAGGACGGCTGCTTGCGTTGTGGCCGAAACGTCGTGAGAATTATTTTATTATGTTTTATTTTTATTATTTTATTATATTTATAAGTTTACTAGGTTTGTTTTCTCTTTCATTTGTACCCGATGATGATTGCTTGCGTTGCGATCGAAACGTCGTATGCTATTACTTAGTTAATTTTCGCTTTCTACGTGACTTAACCGAAAGAACCAAAGAGTAATTCCTGCAGTCACGAAAGCTCCAAATCAAGTTTGTTCAATCCCGTTCGTCCCTCTTGGAATAAAGCTCCGTCACAATAATATTATTGTTGTTGTCATTGTTGTCAATCGCGTACAGCGCTCTGTCATTCTGCTCACGGATGACGGTCTCTCCACACGTCCATCAGTGCGGCTTGGAGACGGCGGAGGAGCAGAAACAGCTCAGATGCCACATGGGGTCACTAATTTGATCCTCAAGACGCAGGATTAAACGGATCGATAAAGGTCTTCATTAACGATGTCCACGAATCGAGGAATCGTTCAAAGCCCACCAGTCAAAGTGCAACCGCCACACAAGATGAGTTTTAGTCGTTATCCGTCGTCATGGTTACACGTGGCCATTTCAATGCTGGATGAAGGCCTTCCCAGGCCGTCGCAAGCTCTCACACAGCCTTGAGACAATCCACACAGCACCTGCTCACGATAAAAAAAAATCTATTTATTCATCTCGTTTGCCCAGGTAAATCCTGAGTCTCAAGAGCCGGGGGGGGGGAAGGGGCCCTTCCAAGTTTTATGCAGCAAGGGACGGAATTGTTGCTGTGTGTGTGCGATCCCAATTGGGAGGAAATCGGAGAACCCGGAGGAAACCTACTACGCCGGAACGGAGAGACGCCGGAGTCGGGAATGCAACCCAGGCACTTCTCGCCGTGACCAGCGCGCTGCCTGAGCATCTCAACGCAGAGTGCACCGACGCGGTAATGGAATGACCGTACAAACCATTACCCTAATTACCACGAACAAAGTAAGACGGTGGAGGGAGAGACGCATGCACGGACACAAAGGGGGGGTGGGTGGGGGGGAGGGCACACAATCAGTCACAGAGACCGCGGCGGCCGGAGGTATTAGCGAGCGCCTATTTAGGTCAGTACTGCACACGTGCTCACGAGCATCACGTCTGCCCCGCCTACTTTGTCTTCCCCGTGCTCACACAGGCACCGTGAAACGTGGGGAGGGTTTTAAACGGCGCGGGAAGCAGCCGCGTCTCAAAGACATCACCGCAGCCACGCAGGGGCGGTCGGCACATGCACGTCCCCGCGGAAGCCCGGTGAAAACACCGGGAGCTGAGGGGCCGCCGTTTTCCAAAACCCGCAACTCTAACTGCCCTGAACCACGAACCCCAAAGCCGAGCACTAAAACCTAACCCCCTGCATCCCCAAACCAACAAAACCCCGACCAGGGCAGTGCTACGGGCCGGCTGCAGCTCGCCGCTCGTTACGGATGTTCTCAGTTCGAATCTGGCAGGCCGGCCCGGTTAATACTGCGGTGTGCGTCGACCGTGAATAAGTGGCGTCTGATAATTGTTTTTT